TTTGGATCAAAAGCAACCTACTTCTTTTCCTCTTCGCAGCTGGAAGAGAAAACCACTTCATAAAGGGGCCCAAATGGAGGCTGGGGTCTACATCCCATAATAGAAAAAATGACATAACAGACATAATCACCCGTAGAATCTAACTGTGGTTCTAAGTACTCAAACCTCTAAATGGAGAGCATTTCTGGCTGCAATGCCAGCTTACAGATAACAGAGAATAAGAATTGGAAGGGACCTTATAGGTCATCTAGTCCAACCTCCTGCCCAAGCAGGGGACCCTACACCATTTCCGACAAATGGCAGTTCCAATTTCTTCTAGCTATTGAAATCCTGGAAGAGTTGTACCAACAGAAGAGAACTATTTGACCTTGGGATTTAATTGTAGGCTCCTTGGCTGTTTTCTTGTAGACGTTTCATGACCCAGGTAAGTAATATTATCAGTGCTTAGAAGGGAGTTCGGTTTGCAGAGAGGAAGAGGAGGAGGAGGACTGTAGGTCCTTGGTGCTCTCTGAGTTTGTTTTCTTGCAGACGTTTCATGACCCAGCTAGGTAACCTCATCAAGGGAGTGGGGTTTGCGCCAATGATGTGACTTAGTTTTAATCATGGCTAGTTTAAAGAAAATCTGTGTTACTTCTAAGAGAGACTTCTAGTTGCCGCCCCGTCCATCGCAACGGCCGCTCCCCAGCAGAATTTAAATCGCTTGGCAGAGTCTAAAGAACGGTAATAACAAACCACGTTTTTAATACATTTACAAAATTCGTATGTACAAAACAGCCCATTCAAAATGAAAGCCGTTACATTTTTTTTTTTTACATCACGGTATTATTATTTTTTTAATAAACACAACTTTCGTGACAAGACGGGATCGTTGCAAAAGAGGCCACAGAAGGTCACAATTTCCCTATTTTTTCGACGTGTATAAAACCCGAACGATTGAAAAGTGCGGACAATTTCAGATTGCGACAGCGGTTGCGGTACAAGTGTTTCGGTGCGAGGACAACATTGGGACTCGGTTGAGCTTAGAAAATTAAGGCTTGGACCCCCCTGCCTGTCCCACCTACACCCCCTCTCCCCCTCCCCCAAAAAATATTCACACAGGTTCTTAAGATAGGATGCGGTTTGAGGCTGGAGACTCAAGTAAAGTCTTTCAAATTGGTCCAAATTTCTCCAAAGTGGTCAGTGTTGACCTCAGAGGTGGATGGGACAGTCCAAAGAGATCAATGATGTTATTGTAGTAATCATAGAATTGTACAATCATAGGGCTGGAAGGGACTTTGGAGGTCTTCTAGTCTGACCCTCCATGCAAGGCAGGAGATCCTATAACCGTCCCACTCAAAGTCCAGTCTATTTTGGAAAATCCCCAGTGACAAAGAGCATCCACAACTCTAAGAGGCAAGCTACTCCATGGGTTAATTGCTGTCATTATTGATAGTGCCGTTAGTTGGAATAGTAAATATTTTTTTTAATCTAGTAAAAGTTTGAGGGGCCGATGAACCATCTGAAGCTTCGTGAAAAGGAAAAACCGACTGGGGGATTCTGGGAGTCAAAGTCCAGACTTCTTAAAAGTTACTAAGGTTGTAAAACAAGTACATAGGGCCATGGTGGTGAAGAGGGCCCTTCTCAAGGGCTACACCGGATCCACTTTCGGGAAGTTAAACAGGCCTTCCTTATAGCCAAGTTTTCTTTTTTCTTTTTAACAGGTAGTCCCGACTTACGACCAATATATTTCCCTTGCCAAGTGAAACAAAAGTTAAGTGAATTTTGCTCCCTTTTAAGACCTTTCCTGCCACTGTTGTTAAGTGAACCTGGCTTCCCCGTCGACTCTGCTCGTCAGAAGGTCGGTCGCAAAAGGGGATCACGAGACCCCCGGATGCTGCAACAGTCATAAATATGAACCGGTTGCCAAGGGTCTGAATTCTGATTGCGTGACCAACGGCTGTTAAGTGTGAAAAAGTCGGTCCTAAGGCACTTTTTTTCCCCAGTGGTGCGGTTGCTCGAACCGTTGTAAGTTCGAAGACTGCGGGCAGTTCTGACAAAACGCCTGCAGTTGACATAATAAATGTGAAACCTGAAGCCGCAACTTTTTTGCAGCTTCTGTTTCGCGCAGGGGGGAAAAAAAAGAAGAAAAAAGCAAACCACAACCGTCTCATCTTCTCCGAAACCCGCTTCTTCTTAAAAGTCTGCACGGAACCCATCGTCTACATGTGGTTGTGCCTACACTGTGGGCTGACACGCCACCGAGTTTCCTCTTGGTCACTGGCCAGGATGATGGAAGTGCACAGAATTACACGCCTTAACGGAGGAAAAAAAAAAAGGACAAACTGTGCGGCTCCCTCTAAGCTATTCAAGCGGAACGATGACGCGCAAAGTATAAATTCAGAGTCGATTGTCCTGCGTAAGACCCGTTTCTTGGCTAGTCGGCACCGTTACAATCGAATGCTCTGTCTGCAAATCTTGGGGTTTTCCCCGCCCCCCCTTCCTTTTTCCAAGTGTGCTTGGAAGAGGAACAATCCGGACAGGGGTTTGGAATGAAGGCAGTTAGATTAAAAAGGGTCGTGGCTCAATCAGAGGAAAAAAAAACCCCCACAGATAGAGGACTCAGATGGTTAAACTGCATGTAATAGGTCTGCGCTGGGTTACAAAAAAAAATGAGGTTGTTAGCTGAACAATATACAGCAACGTGAATGTGGCTGAGTAGATGTGCTTATGTTATATATGCAAATTGCTGTACAATATAGATTTTTAGGACTGGACTAGCAGGGAGAATTAGAGGCTTTATGGTTAAAGGTAATAAATAAAGACTGGCTGGTATACAAATAATGTGGCAACCACAAAGATATTAAATAGATATTAAATGTCAATCACAGTCCTACCGAAGATGGTTAGGGTCATGAGAATAAGCTTATAACGGTAAGGCGAAGGAGTAAAAAAATCTTAACCATGTCCTAAAAGCAAGATAAACCGCCTTCAAGATCCACTGGGTGGATTAGACAATTTGAAGTTTTATCTGGCTATCAAAACCTTTATTTGTTTTCCTCGGTAAGGAGTTCTTGTTTATACCCCAAGACAACTTGTTATTTGGCTATCGAAGAAACGTAGAGCTGTATAATACATTTGGCAAGGCATGCTTCTACAATAGGAAAAAAAAGAATAAAAAGTCAGTCTTGATAAATACAGTGCGGATTAGCACCTTGTTCTTTAAAAACCACTTTAAGAGGTGACTGGTGGCATAATTCAGGTTTTAAGTAGAGTAGAACCTCTGGTCGCGAACGCTTCTGACCACAACCAAATTGGGTTCCGACCAAAAAATTTACATTGTTCTCCACCATGGCCAATTTCCCCTTCCGCGCCAATTTTTTTTTTTTTTATAAGTGCCAAATTTCCAAAATTAGGTGTGAGTCACAACCAAATGTACTTGTAAAGCGGCTTGTGCTACTACTGGAGACAAGTTTTAGAAGTCACGTTACTAGATACACCCAATTTCGTCTACCCAGAAGAAACCCCTGGCAAAGAAATGAATTAAAATATTTGCATATGTGCCATTTGGATGTTGCTGAGCTTTGCAGAGTTTGGGCCCTTCCTCATGTCAAGACTACTCTTCGAGGAATGTACTGGAAGTCCCTGGGCCTCTTTAGGATTCCCAAAGGATAAATATAGCACTAGCTCCAATTATAAAATAAGGTCCATCAAACTTAAGATTGCATTCCCTTTTATTTCCCCAGCAGACAACCGTTTTACAGCTTGTAAAACTCAAGATTTTTGGCAAAAGGCAACATCTTATTTAGAGACGATAAAAAGAACAGGTTCTAGATGTTAACTGCTTTCAGGTGTGCCCGTAGGTAAGCCCTTAAAAGAAACGGCCTCCGAAGCTGAAAGTCTGTGGCTTTTAATGATTCAGTCTGTCTTACTTTTACTTAAAACCTGGAAACAAATGTAACCCGCTTCTCAGAAACAGATCAGCTTTGCCCCAAATATACTACTAAAATAGAAAGTGTGGCCTTTAGAATGTGGGACACCACACGTAAATCTGAATGATCTACACACGGGGGAATATATATATATATATATATATCTTAGAATTCCCCTGAACTGGAAGTCACAAAAGGTTTTTAAGCTGGTTATTGACTTGTGCTATCAGCGCCTTCAAAGAAGCTCATAGGAAAGACGAAGCCCTTTGTTTTATGACAAAATATGGTACCCAAGTCACAGTAAACAGTTCTCATGGTTAAGATTATCCCTGAATAATGATTGTAGGATGGATAAGGCAGGACTTAAGTTTGATTAACACATACTTCAGAGTAGACAAAAGTGTGAACTGTCTGTACACAAAAGAAAGGCACCCATAGTTAAACACAAAGTTTTAGAATGGAGGGGGGGAAAAATAAGCTCACATCAATGTTATTCACAGCCTTCTGCAAATTCACACATATTCTATTCTAGCCTTAAAGGGGGGCAAATTACACGTGTCGGATTTTTTTTTTAATGCATTATGACATACATTGGTAAATCCCTATATAGTTAAGAAGGAACTCAAAGCAGGACCCTTTAATCCAAATTCAGTGGCTCCAAAACACTGATTATTATTATTATTTTTTTAAACAGCAATTCACTACCATGCTATGGGCTGTTGCTCCTGGCCAAGACCTATCTAAAAATCAGATTAACTTCCATGTTAGACAGGAAACCCTCTGGTAGTGAGGGGATTTCTTTTTTTTTTAATACAGATCTCATTTTAAACAGAATCAAAGATGTTTTACCAAAGCACTAAGGGTGTTATTTTCACTACTACTGCTGGAGCGATGTCTCACCAAGCAGTATCAAATCTCATACAAAGCTATGTTCTTCGGACCTAGGCTTTGGCTACCTAACCTGCTTTGATACATCTTGCATATATATATATATATAAAAACACTTCTTATAAGTAGGAGCTCTTATATATATATATATATAAGAGCTACTTATAAGTAACTCCTACTTATAAGTAGGAGCTCTTATATATATATCCGAATGCTGGCAAACCTCTGGGTATGCCCCTGGCTCCTATACTGGTCTCGGAATTGTGACCGCGAATTGCCATGTGTTCTCTTCGAACGAAACCTCGGTGAAGAAATGAAATATATTACCAAATTCATTATTTCAGCACCCCAAACTCATTTAAGGCTGACGGGTATGGAGGCTAGAACGTTCCGGCCTCGTTGCAGAATAAGATCAATTCACACAAGACGCCCTGCTTGCATTTCCCCACCACTCTGGCTTCCCCCAAAGCCGAGAGGAAATAAGATCGTTCGGTTGTGTTCTTGGTTGAGGAGCAGCGATGCAGGAGCTCTCGCTGGAAGCTCCTGCAAATCCTTCCCGCTTCCGCTTCTCGGCTTTCCTAACCCAAGGCACAGCACGGATCTTCGGAGGACAGACACCCTGTGGGGCCAAGGTTGCCCTACTATAGGCTAAAGTTTCCCCGGAGAGGATTCCATTTTCACTCACTGCAGCATGATATCCTTAAGGTTCTCCTGAAGGATGGTGTCCTTCACCGCGTGGAAGACGAAGCGGATGTTTTCGGTGTCGATGGCGGTGGTGAAGTGATGGAAAAGGGGCTTGCTGCGGTTCCGCCTCTTCCGGTCAAAGCACTGCACCAGGTAGCGCTGGACGTCTTCCAGGCGGTGAGGGTCGCCCCTAAAGTCTGAGAAATGCTTCTTGATGCTGACCGTCTTGACTTTGTCCACCAGGAGGTCCATTTTGTTCAGGAACAGAATGATGGAGACGTTGAAGAAGAGTTTGTTGTTGACGATGGTCTCGAAGATGTTCATGGACTCCACTAGTCTGTTGGTGCGCCGGTCTTCCATCAGAACCTGGTCGTATTCGCTGGAGGAGACCATGAACAGTATCGACGTGATGCCGTCAAAGCACTGGAACCACTTCTGGCGCTGAGACCTCTGGCCACCCACGTCCACCATTTTGAAAGGGATCTTCTTAATGATGAAGTCGTGCTCCACGATTCCTTTGGTCGCTTTTCTAGCCAGCAGGATGTCTTGTTTGCTGGGGAAATAATTCTGCAGAAAGAAAAGGGGGAAAAAAAACAAATAAAAGACACGGGAAGTAGGAGAAAGATCACACTTCAAAAGGGAAGTTAAATCTGCTGAAGTAGCGTCGAGATGCGCCGCGGCGGAATGAAGATTCTGGAATTGAACGCTGGGAAGGATAAGTTAGCGGCTAATCTTGCAAGGGCCGTTCGGATGCCAAGGTTGCAGGTCTGTGTTTGTGTTAACAGCTCGCTTTTATCTCAGGTTATTCCACCCCTCCCCCCCCCCTTATTTTGTGCAAACTTAATCTGAAGAATGAATTTCAGTAGTTTACTGAACTTTGCAGCCTGGTTTCTGGAGCCTCTGAAGTTATGTGCCAGCCTTTCAAGACATGCAGTAAAATCCAGAATGCCTGACAATCTAGGATAATCTAGGTTTCACTGAAGCTGGGACTGGCAAACTTTCACTGCTACTACAGGGAGTTGGTCTGAACAATGGATGCATTCATCATGTCTTGGTTTTTTTAAACAGTGGGCACAAAACATACTTTTTTTCCCCAGAGGAAGAATAAGAGCTCCTACTTATAAGAAGTGATTATTCTGCTTAAGAAGAGATATTATTCACTAAATCTACACGCTCAAACATCCAGTTCTAGAATTTTGAGGAACATTTCCCAGTGCTATTGCTTCTCTTATCTATGATTTGAATGTGTACGACACAAAACAACACAAAGAGAAATAATCTCACCAACTGGCCAATCCGATCCAGATTATCCAGGAAATATTTTACGGATTCACCCTGTTGAGAAAGAGAAGAGTGTATTTACTTATGGTTTACATCCTGCCTTACTTCAACAAACTCTTGAGCAGCTCACAAGAGTTATATTTAGATTTAAATGTCCAATGGTTAAGAAGACATACTGAAGACTTTAGTGCCCAATATTCCTCTGAAAAAGCCACATTTTCACCACACTGGGATTTTAATACCCCTTGAATTGTACTTGGAAAGATACTGGCAACCTATGTAGTGTCCAAACTATCCCGCTGAAATGTTTCTCATCTGTCAGCATGTTGCTTTCTGTACCAATCCACTGAAGTTTTGGGGGTCAACTTAAACCAGCCTTTGAGAGAACTTTAGAATCATCCAATGACAAGGCAATCAACCAGCTGTTTCTGCAAAACAGAAGACCTTCATTTACATTAAGAAATTACATTAAACTGCAGTATAAGTGCTGGGATCGAGTGCATCATCACAGAACCGGCCGTACTGCTTCAGAACCAGAGCTGGGATCTGGAAAAACTGATCTCTGAAAACATATTTACTTTGCTTGGCTCTGCCTTGCAATGATCCCTTTATGGGACAGTCGGTAAGCCAAACTAGAGCCGTGAACACACTTTGGGGAAGAGAATTTACACAGCAGGCTGTAAAATAAAATAGCTTTGTCATTGTGGCCTTAGGACAGGCCATAGATTCTTGTGATACAATGGCTCATTCTTTTGTTTCCTCAATACCTGGACAGGCATTTTTTTTTCCTTACAAAGTAAAAAAAAACAACAACCCACAATCCAGAAGTGTTTGTTTATCCTGACTGCTTACAAGATAAAGCAACCTTCATGTGGTTTCCAGTAAAGCACACAATATCCACTTCAAAACCCTAAACTTTTTTCAAGTACCTCCACAGAAGGAACACATAGAGCATAGCTGGCTTGTGGGAATTGAATATCCACAAAATTAAAAGTTGCCAAGGTTGGATACCTCTGCCTTAGAGCTACATGTGGTCCCACCGTTCTTGTATTTCTCAAGCAAGCGAAACGTATTCCAATTTTAACAGCAGTTGTTTGTATATGTCCCTCATAGGATAGTTTTTTTCTTGCTACATTATTGTATTATTCTGTCTTTGTGTTTCCTTTGTTCACCGACAAGGGTTGAAGCCGGTCAGCATTTATGACAGTTAGCATATAGTATACAAAGCAGCTAGATCTATGAACAATCTTAACTCCTGAATAACATCCAAGATTAGATCACAATTCTTACGTACGTCAGATCTTAAATGGGAACAATATAATCCAACTTGATCTAGTTCTAATTTCATCTAGTGCTCTTATCTGATTTGACTAGGACTGAGGTGTACTTCTTAATTTTTAAACCCTCCATTATATACCAACAATGTCTTCAAATCATTAACCTCTCTGTTGTCCTTGGATTGGTGGGGGGAAAACATGTTTTGTTATAAGCAAATAACAAATAAATATATACACCTAAAGAGTTAATGTAAAAATATAGATGATTCATTTTCACTTTATATCTCTCTCTTCTCGTGCATCCTCTGAGTCAGTCCGGCCAACTGGGACAACACAGGAGGAGGTACTGTCCCCATCGCTGAACAGCAGCCATGAGTCATCCCACATCTGGGAATTTGAAAACCCAGAGCTGGGAACTACAGCCCTGAAATAAGCCAGCTCCCACATCTGAGCATTGTTCCAACTTTTTATCTTGTTTATTTCAGACCGATACTGTGGAGCGTCTTCTTGCTTTCATCTTAAAAAGAGCGCTTGATTAATTCGCAGTTACAAAGTATGAAAATCCAGGCGGTTCACATGCTCAATAAAGTCGTGCTGATTTAATAAAACGCAAGAGGTGGTGGCTATAAAAGAATATTCCCTTTTAGCAGGAGAGTGCAGGTGGTCCTTGACTTAACAACGGTTAACTGAGTGACTATTCCAAGCTACAACGGCCCTGAAAAAAGCGATAGTTTTTCACACTTATGACCGTTGCAGCATCCCCAAGGTCAGGTGATCAAAATCTGGACGCTTGGCAACCGACTCATATTTACGACAGCTGCATGCCCTGATGCCCTTTTGCAAACGTCTCTGACAAGCAAAGTCAATGGGAAGCCAGATTCACGCAACAACTGTGTGACTAACTTAACTTGCAACGCTTCCCTTAACAACTGTGGCAAGAAAGAGTGGCATAAAATGGGATAAAACTCGCTTAACAACGGTCTCACTCCATCGACAGAAATCTGGGGCTCAACTCTGGTAGTTAAGAAACAAAAATGCTAACTGTAGCCCTGAAAACCAATCTCTTCTGAATGCATCCCAGCTGCCCAGAGAACTTACGCTTCACGACTCATCCCAGAGCAAAATTGAAAGCCCCACAAATGTAGTGACAGAGAGTTCTGAATGAACATTTTCCTGCCACGGTATGGCTATAAATAGTGCAGATCTCGCACCATCGCCTAAAATTAGAATTATCGCTGCGCAGGCTCCATGCTTTCTGAATGGGCGCCCACAGACGCACACACGCACCTTTTGAAAGATGGATTCCGAAGAGTGCAAGTGCTCAGGGCGATCTCAGGGTCAAACACAGCCATGTTTTCTATGGCCACCTATCTTATGGCAAGATAATCCTGGACGGCTCGCTGTGGTGTCCCATAAAACAGAATAAATAAAATAAACCCACAAGGCACCATATAACTCAGACACAGCACCACAACATCACATAACCTCGCCATGTTGTGACAATTGCCATTTAAGGGCAAGACCTAGAAGATTCCGTGGGAGGTAATGGAAACAAACTGAAGTTAAGCGAAGGGGGTGAGATTTAGGCCACGGGTAACATTGAACTATGGTGAGATATAAATAAATAAAGGGATTAAGTGTCCAAACATCAGCATTTATGGCTTCAGCTATGCTAAAGTGCTACTGAACACGGTTCCAAAGTTCTGATATCTCACAACAAAATGTACCGCACATTGCCTGACTTTCTCACTAGTCGTTTCCTAACTTCATTTGCCTGACTTCGGTGGGTAAATGGAGCTGTCAAGAAACGTCTTTTGGGGAGGCAGGAGGGCGACTTACTCTCTCTTAGGACACATCTGTACATTTATTTGGGATGGGGGCCAACGGAAGCACAGATCAGCCAGTCCAAATTGCAGAAATCAAAAGTAGGAAACAAAGAGGTTTGAAATTGCTCCTCCAATAAGACTTTCTGGAAAACACTGACTGGATATCACTCAATGCTGTTTTTTTAAAAAAAGATACGTATTAAAGTAAACAGCCAAGAGAGTTATAAAGTTGTATGTATGTATGTATGTATGTATGTATGTATGTATGTATGTATGTATGTATAGTATTCAGCTTTGTTCGGGTATTTTCCCACGTCAACATTTCGGCAGAATCTCATTTGCCATCATCAGGCTTCTGTATTGTACACAATACAGAATACACAATACAGAATATACACAATACAGAAGCCTGATGATGGCAGATGAGATTCTGCCGAAACGTTGCTACAACTTTAAAAGCACAAATTTTATTGTAACGTGGGAAAATACCCGAACAAAGCTGAATACCATACATACATACATACATACATACATACATACATACATACATACACACACACACACACACACACACATTTAAAGGACAAACAGTGCAAACAAAAATAAAACGTGGATTTTACGACAGCAAACCTTCTGGTTATGAAACATGCCACTGGGGAGACATTTTTATATCGTTTAAAAAAAAAGAAAAAAGAAGAAAGCTATAGAAAGTTACAGTGGCCTAAATAATCAGCCAAGAAGTTCTTAAGTTTGTCAAGTAGGGAAATCACATCGCAGAGTTTTTAGCAACTGAAGACTTAATGGAAAACCTGCAGATGTGGGTAATCTTCCACTTGCAACAGTTTGACATTATGACAGACACACACACACACACAAAAGAAGATAACTGCAATTGAGATTTGGAGTTTTGACAGCCAGGCCTCCCCTGCAGTCGTGCGGTTACATTTTGGGTGCTTGGCAATCCACCTGCATTCATGGCTATTTGTGGTGTCCTGTGATAATTTACAATTCCTCCCCCAGAAACTGATGTTTATTTCAGGTTTCGGGCAAAAAAAAATGCCCTTTATACCCAAAGGGTTTGCTTAACAACCATGGATTCGCTTAGCAACCGTGGCGATTCACTTAACAATCACCGTAGAATTGGGTCAGTCACGTGATGACTCACTGATCAACCACCCTGACTTATGACCGTAATTTCTGCTCAATTACGGTCGTAAATCCAGGTCTGCCTGAATGGGCTTTTCAGTGGCATACTCCCCAAATTTGTTGGGAGCTATTTTGAAGCGACTTTCAATCTTCCGTAGAAGGCAGGCCAAAGACCCAAAGCCACAAACAGAGTTTTGTGTTTCTTTCCAGCCTAGCCTATTTAAAAGTGGTAGAACTGCATTCATATGACGATGTTATTATGTGTTCTTGCCTAACAAGGAAGCGGTCCGATTTTACTGGAAACAATTCTGTGAGAGTCTTGCTCTTGCAAATAAAAACAAAGGAGGCATTAACAGTGCCTTATGAATGTCTGTTTAAAACACAGCTCAAGCCCAGTTCAGAGCCCCTGTTGAAATTCCCACATTGGTTACTTCAGAAGCGACGTTATCGGCAGGCAGCCGACCCTGGCTTTCCCACAGCTTTCACCATGTAGTAGTCTGAAAGTTATACAATAATCCTTAAACCCAGAAAGAGCCTAGCAACACATTTTCAGAGGAATAAATTTTATGATTTCATGAATCATTTCTCTCCTCTTCACCCCAACAAGTCCTAGATCTGTTTAGCCACACTAATGAACTGAGCTGCAATTCACAATAGCGCATGCTTTTTAATTTAATAACAACAACAACAACAACAATAATAATAATCTAAGGTGTTACTAGACTCCTCCTGATGTTTGGCTACCATAAACTAATGCACCTCTTTTGCTACAAGACGCTCCTCCTTAAACAAGCAAAGAGATTTTACATGGAATTTAAAAAAAAATCTACTTCCATACACTACATATTCACTGTGTACTTTTACATAAAGTGGAAGTTTAAAGTAGGAAGTAAATTGTTGTATATTGTTCTACTGATAGCAGCAGTCATGATATATTACATTGGGAGTTACCAGATCCGTCACAAGAAACATCATTAAAATGTATTAAATATTGACACCAATGTGACACAGGCAATCATCCATCTTGAAAATCAATGCACAAAAGTTATCTACACCTATCCACATTATTTGCAGCGTCCAATTGTTTATATTTTGCTCTTTGTTTTGTTAATGCTCACAAATATTCTTCAGTTCTGAACAGCTCTTGTTGGACTAAGCTTTGTCTACACAATGGAGCATTGGAAGGAAGGAAGGGCAAGAATCTAACTTTATGGATGGGTGGATGAAAGGAAGGAAGGAAGGAAGGAAGGAAGGAAGGAAGGAAGGAAGGAAGAAAGGAAGGAAGGAAGGAAGAAAGGAAGGAAGGAAGGAAGGAAGGAAAGAAGTCAAAAAACAAAAAAAGCAAAGCTTGTTTTAAACCACCTTGGTACCAACCCAACTTCAAACCACTTGAGAGTTTAGTGTTAACAAAGTAATAAACACAATGTCTACACCTCAAAAGGAAATGTTGTAAAAATTTTTTTTGGGGGGGGGAGGGATTTAATCGTACTATGTGGGGAGAAGGCACAGGTCACATATCTCTGCAATCTGCTTGAAGTTACACCTACTTACTGTAGAACACGGACCTTCTACATCATGCTTAGATGGTTTAGAGCTAGTAATTATTATAAGGGACTGCTTTAAACGGGAGGAGCGTTTAGGAAATGGGAGGTGGGGTGGGGTGGGAGACTTGCTTTTGGTTCAGTTTACTCACCAGCTGATATTCACTTCGACGGCTGAATGCTTCCTTGATCCCAGAATCCCTCCACAGGCCGGTCAGAGCTGGTACATACAACTGGAACACGGAGGGTTCAATGAACATGCCCGGTTTATTTTCAAAGGCCATTAGGAACATGGCATGCTTCTCATTTTCCGCGTACTGCCAAGGAATGCCCAGTTTGTCCCGCGCATCAACTAGAACCCTGCAGCCCTAAAAAAAAGCAACAGCAGCGGAGAAATACATTTCAGGTCCTACGTTGCCCATCCATGCTCCGTCTTTAACACACTACTAGAACCACGTGTGCTTTTACTTGGCCAGTTCTCCCTTGCTCTACATTCCAGGATATTTTAGACGACTTTTGAGAGCCAAATTCCATCCTTGTTATTAAGCTGGGATGTGGTCTTCTTAAAGATAAAAATTCCCATTTGTTGTGGGTAGTAGCGTACCACCAACACAGCAAGGCTACTTTGGGGGGCGAAGAAGGCAAGAATTTAAGTTTTGCAACACCTGCAGTTTGGGGGACAAACTTCTGTTAAGCCTCACTTTAGAACCACTTTTAAGGTACAGGAAGAGGTCCAGCAAAACCTTCCACAGAATAAACAAATGGTGTTTTTCCCGCCCCCCCCGCCTCGTCCATCTTAGGAAAAATGGTGGTTTAGGCCAATAATCTAGGATTGGTTCTCAAGAGGAAAAAGTCTGGATTCCTAAGGTTTAGAACAGGGTTTTTTTTTTTTTTTCAAACCCCCAGGCAAGAAAGCCGTATCTGAAGACAAGCCTGTGCAACTAGCAGGGTGTGCATATCCGGCTCGGCTGCCACCCCCCCCCGCTTTTATTGCCCCGTGCACCTTAAGAACTAGCACTGGCCCAGGTCGAATTAGATTGTCTTCTGAACTCTGAAGTTAGGGCGGTGGGAAGGAATGTTGTAACGCCCTCCAATAAATTATTTTTTCCCCTCCGGGAACTTTTAATAAAAACATAGCTGGGTCCACACACCATGATAATCCATGGGTCATTTAACTCATGGCTTTATGAATCCACTCACGGGATGCTGAAATTAAAATTTAATTTAACGTTACGCAAGTGCAATCCGTACAGATTTTCCGTGACCGGGTGGGTGGGTGGGTGTATTGGGCTGAGAAAGACAGAAGGACGTCCCTTCACCTGGCAGGGTTCCTGGTCTCAGGGAATACTTGAATTTGGGTCTCAAGCCCACCTGCTTAGCCTTTACACAGAACTGGACCACAAGGGGATGGATGGATGCTGGAGGAAATGCATCCTGGGATAGGCTGCTCCCTTTTGGACAGCTCTGCTTCAACAGGTGGGCAGGAGACCACCAGGAAATCCTGCGGGCAATGTTGGAAAAAAGCAGCGGCAGACCGCCAATCCTTCTTTCTCAAAGGCTGTTCGACCTGGAGGTCTCTACTTAACAGGGGGATATGAGACCACCAGGAAATCTTGCAAGGGTTTTTTTTTGGGGGGGTGGGGGAGGAAATGTGAAGAAAGCTAAATAGCAGACCACCACCCTGCCAAGATGGGTTGGGCCTATTGGGGGGGGGGG